ATGTGATTTATTCTTATATGTGTTGATTTTACTATGAATTTAATGCATTGATTTAATTGATCACTAATTTGATAATTATGTGAGTATCTTACGAATTGAGTGGTGAGTTTGAGATTTAGATCATATAGTAAAATTCGGTAAATTAATATAACATCCAGAGATCTATACTACTTACACAGAGAGAGAGAGAGAGAGAGAGAAACAAAAAAAAGGAGGAAAACGCATAGGAAAACAAGAAGATGGCTGCCGGCAGGAAAGAGAGAAAAAAATGAGAAAAAAAAGAAGAAGAAAGATGAGAGAAAGAAAAAGAAAAGGGCTACTAGCAGAAAGCAAAGAGAGAAAAAACTCGAAGAGAAGAGGAGATAAAAGAAAAGGGGCGGCAGACACGAGCAGTTTCACGTTTTGTCAATTTTTGGTAATATCATTCCACTTTTGCATATTTTATTTTTACAATACGAGTAACTAATTTTCTTATTAGGGAAAACAATGTAGTCGACTTGTGATCTTTAATTTTTTTATTCAAGATTTATATGATTTATTCTTATATGTGTTGGTTTTAATATGAATTTAATGCATTGAATTAATTGATCACTAATTTGAAGATTATGTGAGTCTTTTACGAATCGAGATGTGAGTTTGAGATTTAGACCATATAGTAAAATTTGGTAAAATAGTATAACGTGTAGAGATACATATACTAATTATTACGGTCGTAATATGAATTCTCAGCACTAGTATTTCGTTTAACTAAAATTGATTCACATGGAGATATAGAATATAATTGATTAAATAGGTTCAATGAGAACTCAAGATGGGTAAATTGAATACAATAAAAGAATTCGATCGAACACTTCATTACGTTATGAATCTTGAATTAAGAATTAAGGTGATCAATAGATGAAATTGTTATGCTCTAATATCCATCATATATTTGAATATTCAATTATTAGTTGTTTGTAATCTTTTTATATTTTCAATTAGTTAAAAGTAGTTAGGTAAAATAATCACAACCACCATAATTATTTACTTGCTTTTGTCAAATGGGAGTTAGAAAATTTTGATTAAGTCCCGAAGTATAGTCTTCGTGGGAATGATATCCGGACTCAAATGTCCACTATACTGCTCGTTATGATATCGTATACTTGCGATATAAAAAAACGCAATAAGTTTTTAACGACATTGTCGGGGACTATTTACTTTTAGTCTTAATCTAATTTATTTTATTTTTAATATTATTTGATTTGATTTGATTTGATTTGATTTTATTACAAAAAAAAAA